ATGTAGTGTCCATGATGTCACCTGTTGGTTTCTGAGGAGCAGTTTTCAAGCTAATTTTTGGCGGAGTTCGTCGTCGCCATCTTGCCTATGCGTCACTCCAGGATAACCAAATATGGGCAGAGGCAGGTCATGGGTGGAACTGAGGTGACTGGTTACTGCCTAGCTCGATGTTATGGAGTTAGCTCCATGCTATATAATACTCTGCCTTAGCAGAGGTGGCTTCTTGGCTACACCCTTCCCCCCCAACTATCATTGTGGTAAAAATCCAAGATAACATCAAATAGCATTAAAGAATGACTGGCTAATACTTTGATTTAGATTCCCTAGAGTCGTGCTCTTGGATCTATGTGTTGAACTGGGTCCAGCATTTGACAGACCAACCTGACGTAACCGTGTAAGAAGGTTATAACCACTGTATCTGGCAGCAGCTGTTAGCAGCGGGAGCTGACAGGTGTGTGTCTGATTATCAACAATATATAGTGTTTATCTTTCTACCAAAAGTCATTGTTTAGAATAATATAATTCTGTCTTCTTTTGTTTGTGAACAAGCTGCATCAAACAATATGTGGGCTACTTTCTAACTTCCACCTCACAAACACCTTGATTTCTGTATCAGAAAAACTTTTTTAAATCTTCCACATCCGCTTTATGTCAGACCATGTTTTCTTTATGTCAGCCAGTATGAGTCTCTGAGCTGCATTGACTGCCATTGTAACACTAACGGTACTCAGTCATTTTGCATTTGTTGCTGATCAAAGAGTTCCAACCATCAAATTAAGTATTTCTCCTCTCCTCCACTTCAGGGATCAGCAACTCGATCTCACACTCAGCGTAGTTTCTCTTTTTCATGTTTTGCAGCAGGATGGTTTTATACATGTGGGTATTTCTGTGAGTACGCCATCTTTCAGTATGAAATCTTTGGTGCCGACCAAAAGTCTTCTCCGAACTTCTCCCACACCCGCTGCTTAACATCTGCCACAAAAGAGGATGCAGCCCATCAGGCCCGTTGGTACCTTGCAACCGCCTCCGAAGTCCTCCGAGACAACAAATCCTGGAAGGCCTCCTTCTTCAGTCGGATGGCTTCCCTGATCACTGGTGTCCTCCACAGTGTTCGAGGGTTACCACCCATTGAGGCACATAACACCATGAGACCACAGCCTTCTGCTGCGGCTTCAGCAATAGAGGCTTTGAACATTGCACACTCATGTTCAATGTCACCAACCTCCACAGGGATGCCAGAAAAGCTCCACCGGAGTTTTGAGTTGAAGATCTCACAGACAGGGGCCTCCTCCAGACGTTCCCAGTTCACCCGCACTACCCGTTTGGGCTTATCAGATCTGTCCAGAGTCTTCCCCCACCTCCTGACCCAACTCACCACCAGATGGTGATCAGTCGATAGCTCCGCCCCTCTCTTCACCCAAGTTTCCGAAACATGCAGCCTCAAATCAGATGAAACGGTTACAAACTCGATTATCGATCTTCGACCTAGGGTGCTCTGGTACCATGTACACTTATGAGCATCCTTATGCTCGAACATGGTGTTCGTTATAGACAATCCATGACTAGCACAGAATTCTAACAACAAACACCCACTCGAGTTCAGATCAGGGGGGCCGTTCCTCCCGATCACGCCTTTCCAGGTATCTCCATCATTGCCCACATGCGCGTTGAAATCTCCCAGCAGAACTATGGAGTCCCCTACTGGAGCCCCATACAGAACTCCATTCAGGGTCTCCAAGAAGGCTGAGTACTCTAAACTGCTGTTTGGTGCATATGCCAAACGGAGGGCACCTGCTCTGGCAGTGTTTTGAGTGTGTGAGGTGTACAAACACGCAGCAGACAGGGAAACTGAGATCCGTACGGGCACATGAGACCCTCAGAAAGGGGAGACACCGCTGGTAGTAGGCTACCACCAGCTTCGTCTTAATAATGGTCGGTTCAAGGCTTATTTTAGGATGAGTCGGGATAATCTAAGCAACTGTAAACTTCCGTCAGCACAACTGAGGGCCTGTCTCTCCATTCATTAGATTGGACAATAGGGGAAAAAACGCAAAAGGGCACGAGTACATTTTTTTCAACTCCGTGCGCTCAGAGCGCTCATTCAAAAACATAAGGTACTGCAGACGGTGTGCGCTGTGAGATAACTGTGATTTTGCACTATATTAATAAAATTGAATTGTACTAGCAAACCAACTGAAAGACAATGATCACATCAAGCGGTTTCTTCTGCTAACATTATACAGCATCACAATACATTCTTTAAATATTTGTATTCAGAGCTCTACTCTCCTGAATCATCACTCTAAAATAGAAGAAGCTGAAGATTTCATCAAAACTAACCACAACCCAATAATGTTTTTTAAATGACTTCTGATCTTATCTACTGTTCCAGCATTCCCCACATTGTGGTATACTCCAGTGTAGCCAGTCAATTCCAAATACTATGATGGCTTGTTCATGCCTTTCTACTTTATTCAAACAATCAATAACATGCCTGACCCAACCTCACCTTGTTATTTCCAATATATTCACCTGGAAAAAAAGCATACAAAAGAAAATGCTGGCACGGTTGATTGTCAAACTCCTGCACTTTTAGTTTAGGCGGTTTTAGTGATTTGGAGGACCTCGGAAAAGAAGAACTTGGATAATTGTTCATACGTAAACGAGATTAAAGGCTAATATTTCCAAGTTGTGTTTTCTCTTGTTAAAAGAGCTGTGTTCAAAACTACCAATTTGATAAGCCACCTAAAAAAAAACACCCAACCAGCGTCTGAAATTAACTTTTTTCAAGGCCTGCCACTGAGACATCTGCCACATTTATAATGTATGCGAGAAAATGAAGGAATAACATCCAGCATTCATTTAGGCATCATTTAATGTTAATAATGCCATTCAATGTTCAATATATTTATGTTTGCATGCACAAAGGACTGTTTTTTAGTACATGTTCTCTACACATTACTTAATAACCAGGGGCCTGTACCACGAAGCGAGTTCAACATACCCAGGATATCTTTCAGTTATCTGGCTTAACTAACCCCAACAATTGCGGTCGAGATAAGCGGTACCACGAAGCTGGTTATCAACAACACATCAAAAATTTAACAGAAAGATAATTTGAGAGTCAAGTCATGACAGTCAGTAAGATCATATACAGTAATTTCGAAGTTCACCACAGTGTGTCAATTATTTGATGCTCAATTCAAAGCCCACAGTTCAACCACCAATGTATGAGTTCAAATCTTGACAAGACTCCATATTTCAACAAAAACCTGCTCTTTTGGATCCCAAAAGGAAACAAAAAAGTGTCAATACAAAAGTTGGCCAATGATAAATAAACCAATTGACCCCTATCTCGTCTAATAGACAAGTGATTCTCCAACAACACCATAGTCCTCCCATAGTCAGCCGGTGCTTTGGTGTGCAGAATTTGCCCAAGTAACATGAGTGAATTTATTTATTCCGTGCAGGGAATGAAATTAACACCCGCCAAATGCGGGTAAATTTAGGCAGTGGCGGGTGAATGCAGTGCTATTTGCCTCCATGTGTGTTTTTTTGTAAACAGTAGATGGTATATGCGTGTTTCTGTACACAGATTAGATCTAAGGAGGGACGTGTCGCAGACATTAATTGGCGTTTACAGTCAACAGTAGCGCCAAATGTGTGTTAATGTTACGCCCACCCACTAGTGATGTGCGATACCACTTAATTTCTATACAATCTAATACCAAGTAATACCCAGGCTGGTATTGCCGATACCAATACCAATACTTTTTACATATTTTATTTCTTGTTTAATGTGACCTCTCCCCTCCTATTTCTGTATTTATGAGAGAAATAAGGAGTAAGCTGTGGCTGCATAATGACAAGACATCAAACTACTGTCATATTCTTTAATTATAATCAAAATATCCTGCTTCATAACATCATCCTGTTATTTTGACTTAATCTCAGATGTTTAGCGTAGTGTTGCTAAAGTATTTCACTTTGCACACACATCACACAGAGCAACATTTTTACCTTCACAGCTAAGCCTAGACCTAGCCAGACGTGACTGTTTTTACAGTCAGTCAATCGCGGGAAATGTAAAGGGCTGCAGCGGCTCACTTCAAAGACGCTCCGCCACAGCACTGTAGCGGAAGGAGAAGTAGTTCCTATAAGCCGAGTATAATTAGACCATCCTGGTGACAGTAAGATACTTATGATGAAACACACACTCACTCCATATGACTGAGTTTAGATATCGATCCTTTTATATGAGTATTGATCCTAGAGCAGGAAACGGTATCAGAAATATCGACACTTTAGGATCGATCCGCACATCACTACTACCTACCCCATCATGCAGACTCTGTGCGGACTAGCGCCAGCTCTCAGTGAGTGAACACGGCAGCTGGACAAGGGCCGAGCAAAGCCTCCCAGACCGACAAAGTCCAGTTTGACCACAGTAACATTACCGAGGTGGTTTTCTTGCCGGGTTTGGCTCTTGGCACCCCGGGGCTGAGTAAGCTAATAGAACCACTAGCAGCACAGCTAACCGACCGAGCTAACTACTGCCTTTCCGGTTCACAATCACCAGGCATTGCACCGCGCCATCATTCCATGCTGGGCCCCCCTCGCGTGGCATGAAAACCTCCAGTTCTTGAGTAAAGGTGTAAACACCTTCACACAGTCTGCGGTAAACACATTTTTTGCTTTTTTAGTTTGCTAAAGTTCCTTTATGCAAAAGGAATAGTTCAATATTTTGGGAAAGCCTTTTTGGTTTTTTGGTCCCCTCTGGTTGCCTTCAGTAAGTTACTGCTGTTTCCATGTTTCCAGTCTCTAAGCTACGCTAACTAGCTGCTGGCTGTGGCTTCATATTTAAAGGACAGCTATGAGATGAGTATCAAGCTTATCTAACTCCCTATATAAAAACAAAATTGTTTATTTCCCAACATGTTGAACAATTTATTTAAACAACAATGAAACATCAGATTCAGGGAATGGATTTATTTCCTTACCAGTAACAGAGAGTCTGACAGAGTCACTTAAAGGGGAGCTGACTTCTTGACTTGAAACATTTTTCTGATACTGACACTGGTACGATCCTTCGTTATCAAAGTTCACTTTAGGTATAATGAAGGTAGCAGAGTTGGTACTTGATGTTTGGGTCTTTCTGAATGAGCCCGATGTCTGCTGCAGGAGGAATGTTCCACCTAAATGCTGAGTTGAGATCGAACAAGTGATGCTGACGTCCTGACCCCAGGTAACCTCACCAGCAGGATTCATGGAGATGCTGGGCTTTGAGAGGCTCTCTGAAAAAATAACACAACAATAAAAATATTAAATGTATTTGTTTAGATATTTGACCCTGCCTGTCTTTTTTCCATAAGCATGTAGTAGTAAGGCAGTATAATGGGCAACTTGAATGAATGATCCACTCTAAAAATAGCCAACTCTTAAGCCTAATGTTTTTAAAATCTTATCTCTGTGGGTGGGGGCCATTGTGAATGTCTGCATCACAAAGTTACATGGGGAAAAAATACTTCAAATCCAAGAACACAGTAATGAAAATAAAAGTGAAAGCATGAACAGAAAGAGTTAAAGGCAGGGTAGGCAAGTTGCTTCTAAAACACTTTTTTTCAGATTTGTTGAAACTGTCTATATACACAATACATATTAAAAAGTTAGGTGCTCTGAAAAAGAAAACAATTGGCTGTCTGTAGTCCTCTCGGGGCTGCAGTAAACACAGCCACTCGTTTCATTTGGACTGAATGCAATGATTGGATGGGTGACTGTGACTCTCCCTCACTGCCATGGCTACCAGCCCTGCTGCTACAGAAGCTGCCCCCATGCGCGCACCCGATGAGCTCTCATCTGGAAAACAGCAGCGCGAGCTGTGTTTTCCGACGCTAACATTAGCTAAGACAATATAAGTGTAGACTGCGCCGGTTTAGTTATTCACCATATAGGTTTATTGTTATACTATGTTTACACCTACCTTAAAGTTATCTTTACCTTGTATCTAATTTGTTTGTGTGATTATCTTGTGTCTGCAGACGTTGTGTGACTGTATGTTACTTTTACAAATGTGGTGATGTAGCTGTGTGTGTAGTTATGAGAAAGACATTTCAATGTTAGTATACATAAAAAACGCTGGCTAAAGGTCCCCAAGTATCTGTGTTTCTGGTATATAAGCTACCTATAATATAGTTTGACATTGTTTATAGCTAAACCTACTGTGTGAAAACATTTTACTGTAACTGGTGTTATGGCATTACTTATTTTACCAGAAGTAAAAAAAATCTTGTATGTTTTATTACTACTGCGCCCTCAGGGCACCTGCAGATTTGGAGTCTTCCATAACCCTGTACTTCTCACCAGTACACTGATCGGACCATGCTGGTTGGCCTGGATTACAACCACCGTGTCCACAGTCTAGCCAGGACTAAAGCTGATGACACAGTTCAGTATGTTGCATTATGAGTACTATGTGCATTTTACTCAATACATTTATAAGTGTTGAATCAAAAACTATTAAACAGTATGAGGAATACAGATAGATGGTGCTGATTTACTATTGATTGCATTTTATGTGGAAATATTTTACTAACTAGAGAACAATGTCAGGTATTACAGACTTTTCACTAAGCTGATCCTCCTTTCTGTATTCTGTATCCGATGACGGTTGTCTACTACTGAGGAGATGCCTAGAAGCAGAACCAGGAGACTTGATGATCCCCATCAACATGGGGTTCAGTCAGATGTCCCTGCCCCAACTGTGTTGCTAGATACAGCAAAGTACAAAAAGTAATATGGTTTTGATATGTGGTAATCATGTCAGAGAGGTGATTGTGATATATTTAATCATCTCCACAGCAGCGATATGATGCTACAGTGGGGAGAACAAGTATTTGATTCACTGCTGATTTTGCAGGTTTTCCTACTTAGAAAGCATGTAGAGGTCTGTAATTTTGGAAATCCAGGTCAGACACTGCCTGGCTTTGGTGACCAAGCATCTCTGTTACAGATGGAAATTAAATTACAGTTTTTCTCAATAGCTTAAACACTATAACCAGACTATTGATCTAAAATCTCAAAAGCATAAATCCATTTTTCCAAAAGCACACCCATTTCTCTAAACTCTACACACAAATACCTCCATTTCTCATTGCCTGCACCATGTGGTCATTGAGAAAACAATGACATTCAATATTGTTCACCAAATCAGCACAGGCTGAGCTCGATTAGCACACAGCTACCCAGGTGGAAACACAAAGAGTCAAAATTGATAACACACCAATCAGAAGCTTCAGCAGAGTCAGTTCATCCAGTTTGGAACAATGGATCTAGAGACATGTGAAGGAAGAGGTACAGTAGGAGTTGGAGGAGGATATGGGATAGGAGGAAGATGAGGAGTAGGAGGAGGGAGGTGCAGTAGGGAAACAGAGGATGAGGTGGACAACAAGAGTCTCTGGCCTGTCTCAGACCAAAGACAGGACGCTGGGGCAGAATAATTAGTTGTTAGGTGTGTTGAACTGTACAGCACACTAAGGAATAAAAAATGTGTGCAAATGTTTACATTTGTTGTTTCTTTTCTGTTCATCATGTGAAAAGGTTTCTGAAGGGGAGAACCACAAGCAACATTACTAACAACCAGTTTTTGTAGTATTGTTTTGAATTTAGAGTAGAAAACTTCATTTTGCCCTGAAAATAGGATGTTTGGAGAATTGGGTGAGAAGTTGTGGATTTGTGTTTAGAGTTTCAAGAAAAAGAGGCATAATTTCAGTAAATGTGTTATAGCAATCGAGAAAAACTGTAATGTTACAGAGAGAGAGAGAAGGGGGAACTGGCATACCGAAGTGAAACAGAAATGTATTATTTTATTGTAATTCAGTTTAAATCAGTGGAGCATATTAAATGCAAACAGTAAAACAGCTCCACTTCTGCAACAAGGACTGGAAACAGTTTTGACGGTCATGGTTCCCAGAGGATAACCTGACAGCCTGACATTCCCTCCAGCATTATCAGCAGGTTGACGTGTGGTTCAGACTGATATGTCTCCACCATGCAATGTGGTGTATTTGTGAACTTCATCAGGTCAGAATTCCTGATTTTTCCTGATAAACCAAGTGACTTCACTTTATCAGACAGTTTGTTTCTCTGTATGATGAGCATTACAGCCTCACAGAGCCTCTATTTATTTTCGTTCACTTTTGTCTCTCTTGTAGTGCATTTCTGCTGATGTGTATGGGTCACTATAATGTGAGGTGTAGGAACGTTTGCATCAAAACGTCCTGAAGGCAGCTGGATCCAAACAGCTTTATTTGTTATACAGTGAATCACAACACTGTGTCCCTTTCTTTTAATCCCACACCCCAAACCAGAGGGGGCAAAAAGTCAGTAAAAGAGAAATAAGCTCTCACCATGTCCACAGTTGTGTTTCCCAAATCCTGCATGCTGACACTGAGTCAGAGACCTTTCACTTCCTGAACAGCCCACATCATCAAGCCAGATTTGACCCGTTCCTTCACCAAAATGAGCCGACTGAGGGGCACTCAGTGCTGCACCACAGTCCAGCTCCCTGCACACCACCTCAGCATCATTTAAGTCCCAGTTGTCATCACAGACTGTTCCCCAGGCGTTGTTGTAATAGATTTCAACACACGATGAACTTCATCACCTACATTACAGTTTCATTTACTGTATTGAGCAACATTTCCCACTTGTTATTCTGCTCTTTAATTCTAAAAGCATTCTGCAGGTTGTGGTTAGCAGCTCATATAGTGCTGCATCTGAACAGTGTTACATTTCACACCACAATGACTCGGTGACAGAGCTGCTAAAATACACAGAAAAGGATACATTTATTCAAAATACTTTATCTGAAATGTTTTCTCAGCTGATGTGTCCCAAATCCTCCGTGCCGACACTCAGTTAGAGACCTTTCACCTCCTGAACAGCCCACATCATCAACCCAGATTTGACCGGTTCCTTGACCAAAGCAGGTCGACTGAGCAGTCCTCAGTGCTGCACCACAGGTCAACTGTCTACACACCACCTCAGCATCATTTAAGTCCCAGCTGTCATCACAGACTGTTCCCCAGGTGTTGTTGTGATAGATTTCAACTCTCCCAGAGCACTGAGTAGACCCGGACCCAGCTAGTCTGATCTGAACACCTTCATTGCATGTAAGACATAACAGAGAGTATTTTAAAGACCAGTGTTGGGCAAGTTACTTCCAAAATGTAATGCATTAAAGATTACTAGTTAGTGTCAATTGAGAGTAATTAGTTAGATTACAATATTACTGTCTCTGAAATGTAATGCTTTTGAGTAACTTTCACTGCTGTTTAATTGGCGCATTATGCTCATAGTAAGATGTGCCTGCATATGTGGGTTTGTCTCTCTATTAAAAAAACTCGCTCTGCACATTTACGCACGAGCTACAGCAGCATAACGCTGTTGATTACTTGAATCTCCCGACACTCCAACAGGATCAGTCAGGATGAACTGACAGCAGCCTCTCTGATCATGAAAGTAATTTGTTAAAGCTCAGACACACAGCCTATAGAAATCTATTTACACATGATCCATCAGATGAGCTACTGTCTTATTTAGAAGAGCTGAGCTCCCCCGTAGTTTGCACCCTGTCGACCATCGGATTCCAGGAAAAGGAAATAACATTACTCTTTTACACATGAATGTTTTTCTGCTGCTGAAATCTTTCTTGGTGAATTATTAAAAAAACAAAACCACTTAATTTTGGGTTAAAATGTGTTGTAATGCGCGTTACTGAGATTGTTAGGAGTACAATATTACCGATTTTGTTGTTATATTGTGTTATATTACTGCTTTACAGCAAAAAGCAATAGGCTACATTACTGTAATTGTGTTTCTTTTTTAACGTGTTGTGTAACTGTTAAAGATAAAGTAAAATGCAAACTAACATTACTGTATGCATGACACAGGAGAATGAACTGACCTGCAGCAGGTGAAGAAGCGGTCAGGAGGAAAAAGACTGTGGAACAGAAGAAATGACATGGCTCATTACATTCAGTAAACTGAAAAGTGCAGAATTGTGTTGAGTGTGTTTATTTCAAAGGAAGTTTTTCAAATGAAAAAATTGGCCTTAAGAGACTTCTGTTCTATACAATACAACAACCCTGCTATACAAAAAAAGCTGCTTTTCAAATGAAAATTTGGAAAGTCTGTCTTACCAAGGGCCAAATAGCGAATGTTTCTCTGCTGTATGCTCCCCATAGCTGACATGACAGCTGCTCTGTGACAATTATCAGTACCAGCACAGATGAACTAAAAACTGCGGTGCACAGAAACATTTCACACAGCTTGTCCTTCCTGAAACACTTCCTCTTTCTGGTGTTTTGTTGTTGTTGTTGTTGTTGTTTTTGTTTAGAGGTCAGAAGCTCCAACCAAAAGCTGCAGCACTGAGGCGTCACATCTATCACTTCTGGATATTGAGATTGTTGTTGATCAGCACAAAGATCCAAAAACGCTGCCTGCTTTATCTCCTCCAGATATGTACCCATTTTGTGTATGCTGGAAGTACTAAACTCCCTTTTAAACCCTTCAGCTGCACTAAACTATTACCTCTGTAAATATATTCACTACGGTTGGGTATCGTTTAAAATTGTGAGTGATACCAATACCAATAGATTACTTCATTCGATACCTTGCAAAAATGCCACCTGTTGAAGCCATAGAAGTTGTTTACTAGCCTAGTACAGTTTTTCTCAATTGGTTAAACACATTTCTTGAAATTATGACTCTTTTTCTCGAAACTCTAAATACAAATCCACAACTTCTCACCCAATTCCCCAAACATCCTATTTTCAGAAACACACACACTGCGACACATTTGACACACTGGTGAGAGAAATTCAAAACAATGCTACAAAAACTACAGAAACCTTTTCACATGATGAACACAACAAAAACAACAAATGTAAACATTTGCACACATTTTTTATTCCTTAGTGTGCAGTACAGTACAACACATCTAACAACTAATTATTCTGCCCCAGTGTCCTGTCTTTGGTCTGAGACAGGCCAGAGATTCCTGTTCTCCACCTCCTCCTCCTCCTCCTCCTCCTCCTCCTCCACTCCTATCCCATCTCCTCCTCCTCCTCCTCCTCCACCTCCCTGGTGTCCTCTTTGTCTTCCTTCAGATTTCTCTGGATCCATTTTTCCTAAACTGAATGAACTGACCCTGGCCTTTTATCTTTCTATTGAAGCTTCTGATTGGTGTGTTATCAATTTTGACTGTTTGTGTTTCCACCTGGGTAGCTGTGTGCTACAGTTTTTTCCAACTGCTTACACACGTTTTCAAAACTATGTCTCCTTTTTCAAAACTCTACACACAATTCCCCCAACTGCTCACACAAAATGCAAAATGTCTCACATGTCCTTCAAAATGAAACACTGCAGTCAAAATGCCATAAACACATCCCAAAATGAAGCACTTGCATCAGATGGCAAACACTTTTTTCAAAATAGTAAAGTTATACCATTTACACACAGTTGTTCTAAATCTAATGCTCATTTGTCTTTCACAGGCGTATGTGTACATTTCCATACAATGTTGTAGAGTAAAACTAATCTGCTAAGATGTGCTGAAAAGTAAACTGTAAACACTAAATGCAATGTTGAAACAGCAAATACTTATTTGTAACAGTAGCATCCAAGAAATGCAACCCATAAACATAATTAAACCAAAAGTATAATTTTTACTTTTATTGCCAAAAATGAATACTTATTTAACAATACTGTACTGCTGAAATAACCAATATATTGTTGCAACCTGTTCTAATTTCTGAAGGTTCAAATTATGGATGCCACTGTAAAGCAACTCAACTTGGGCTGGAGTCTCAGTCTAGCTTCTCTCATGGTCAACCTGTGGTCACACAATCAATAAGTGTGGCCCTGATCTTATCAGTGATGGCTCTCCGTCTTTCACTTCTTTGCCCTCGTCCTCTTCCTCCTCGTCATCGTCATCCTCCTCTTCCCCCTTGAACTTTTCCTCTCTGTTCGTTGTTGGCATCTATTCTAAAACAGGTAATCTGACCTTTGACCTGAGTATTGGTCTACTGTATACTAAAACAGTGATTGGTTAGTGATCAGTAAAGCAGTTAGTGTTTGCACATGTGAGGAGTGGCTGTGTGACCTGGTGAAGTGTAGCATTTTGAGGTTGGTTGTGTTTGGAAAAGGAAAATCCTGTTTGATTTTTGTGTCTTAGGTAAAGAATTGTGTGTAGTGTTTTGAAAAAAGTGTTTTATGCAATTGAAAACTGAGTGAAAGGCTGAAAAATTGTTACGGTGGCAGCCCGGCTGATGTTGAGTGTCCTGTTTTTTTCTCCTTTTCATTAGTTATTCTGCTTTTCCTTGGTTTTCTGTTCCCTGCCTACCTCCCTGTGTTTTCTCCCCTGTGTGCTCTCTCTCTCTCTGCTCCTGAGCCCAGCCAATGACCCGCACCTGCACCTTGTCAGCCTGCCACACCTGCCAGTAGTCAACCTCATCCCTGCCTGTATTTCAACCCCAGTTCTCCACACCACTCTTGCTTGATCGTCGTTGATCTTTACATGGTGCCACCCCTGCGCTCAAGCTCGCATGTATTTTGAAAAGTGTAGGGGCTCAAGTCACGCGGACTACAAGCTGGCGCTTCTGACGTTTAGCCAGGTGAAAGTCTCCCAGAGGCCGTGGCTGAGAGACTGCATTTCTGAGTGGCTGGTCAGGTTTGTCCACCTCCCCGCTAGTGCCTCTAGCCCCCAGTGGACTCCTTCCTGACCCGCTTGTTGCAGTTACGTCCTCCTGTCCTGCCAGGCCCGGCACGCTTGAAACCTGTCGTCAGTTCGAGGGAACCCACCTGGCCATCTTCTCTGGGTTCCGTGGTGGCCATCAGAGGAGACGTGGCCATCACGGCTCCCGCCAACACACACCACTCTCCCTTGGTCCCGGCCTGCTAGCCCCCAGTCTGGTCCTAATCCCCAGCCCGCTAGTGCCACAGGCCTCCAGCTTGTCCCTGATCCCCAGTCGGTTAGCCCCCAGTTCGGCCCGGATCCCCAGCCGGCTAGCCCTCTGTCTGGTCCAAACCCCCACCTGCTGGCGCAGCCGGCCACCAGCCTGTCCCTTGTGATCCCCAGCCTGCAAGCGCCGCTAACCCTCAGCCGACTCCCGCTCCTCGTACCCTGTTGGCAGATCTACCGGCCTCAGCCCCGCCGGTGGTCCGGCCGACCCCTGCTCCTCATGCTCTGTTGGCGGACCGATCGACACCAGACCCGTCGGTGGTCCGGCCTCCTCGTGCTCTCTTGGGGGATCGATCGACAATAGTCCCATCGGTGGTCTGGCCAACCCCTGCTCAGCCCAGCAGCCTCGTCCCTGACTCCCCCTGCTGCTGTCTCGCTGCTGGCCTCTAGCCCGGCTCCCTGGCCCCTGGAGGGGTCGCCTCCCCCGGTTCGCCTCCCCCGAACCCTCTGGTCCCTCTGCTCTGCCCTCGGGATGTGCGCCCGAACCCTCTGGTTCCTCTGCTCCACCCTCTGGATGCCCGTCTGTACTATCTGGCCCCCCAGCTCTGCCCTCTGGATGCCCGTCTGTACTCCCTGGCCCCCCAGCTCTGCCCTCTGGCACCCCGCCTGAACTCCCTGGTTCCCCAGCTCTACCCTCTGGCACCCAGTCTGACCCTATGTCCTCAGTTCAGCCCTACCCGTTCGCCTGACCCTTCCCAGTCCTGAAACCCTCTCTGAATTCCCTATGTTTTGTTTTGGACTCTGGACCCCCACCAGCCGGACCCTAGTGCTACTTCCCCCGACGTTCGTCTGCCAAGCCCCGCCTAGTCCAGTCAGGAGGCATCCGTTGAGGAGGGGGCCCTGTTGTGGTGGCAGCCTGGCTGACGCTGAGTGTCCTGTTTTTTTTTCTTTCTTTTTCATCAGTTATTCTGCTTTTCCTTGGTTTTCTCTGTTCTCTGCATGCCTCCCTGTGTCTCCTCTCCTGCGTGAGCTCTCTTTCTCTATTTTGATTACTTTCATTTCCTTGCGCTTTGTCTCCATTATTTCTAACCCTTCTTCCCCCACAGCGTCCTCCCTGTTCTCCCTCGCTTCCTCGGCCCCAGAGTTCCCTAGCTCTCTGGTCCCAGTCTCCTCGGTTCCCCGTGCTTGTGTTTCCCCGGCATCCACCTCTCCCTCCACTCCAGTCCCTCTAACCCTTTTTCCCTCAATAAACCTCCGTCCCTCTGAACGTTGCATTTGGGTCCTCTCTGTCCCCACACCACACGTAACAAAAAATAGCTAATGCTTTTGGAGATTGCAGATGAGAAAAACTGTTGGACTTCACATCTTGCTACCTAATCATCATATTTAGTGCTCTGATGATAGTAGTCTGTACAGCCACTGTTACAGTGTAAACAGGAAGTGCTAATAGCTCATGCAGCATGACTTTTCACAGCCAAAAGTAGGTGTAAAGATGTAAAATACAGGCCTCAGTTGTAGCTTAATCATCTGCTCCTTGTACTTCCTCTTTACATCAGCCAAAGCATTTAGAAATTATGCACATTTTTAAGGATAAACTGTTAATGTTTTTCTCTCCTAGTGCCTTTGTTGCCCCTGGTCTTAGTAGCAGGGGAGTTCTGCTGCTGCTCCTGCTGGTCTTGGTAGTGGTCTGCCTGGTCTTCAGGCGAAGATGAGTCAAGCAGCCAGGAACCATTGTCCAAACTCAGTGTGTGCTCACCAGGACACATAGTACATGACATTATTAGAATTTTAGAGGTTTTAATTCGCATTTATGACTAATTTGTTTGACGCAGTGAGTGTCAGGAACAGTAATGAAGATGACTATGAGAAGGAGAGGGACTATGGGAACATTGAGCCAATGGACACCATGAGAAAACAAACAGAACAAGTAGGATGCTGCAGATTTTTTTGTTACAGTTTTTCCTCAGTTGCTTAAACACTGTAACGGACAATGGATCCAGAGAAATCTGAAGGAAGAGCTAGACGACACACAAAAGGAGGAGGAGGAGGAAAAGCAGTATGCAGAGGAGTAAGAGGTGAAGGAAGAGGAACAGTAGGAGTTGGGGGAGGAGATTGGATAGGAGAAAGATGAAGATGAAGAGGCAGAGGAGGTAGAGGGAGGAGGTGGAGAACAAAACTCTCTGGCCTGTCCCAGACCAAAGACAGGACACTGGGGCAGAATAATTTGTTGTTGGTGTGTTGTACAGTACACTAAGGAATGGAAAATGTGTGCAAATATGCAGATGTATACATTTGTTATTTCTTTTGTGTTCATCATGTGAAAACTTTTTTGTGGGGGAGAACCACAAACCACGTTACTAATAACCGTTTTTTGTTTTGAATTTATCTCACCAGTGTGTAAGACTGTGTTGCAGTGTGTGTGTTTTTGAGGGCTTGTGTGTTATAGTTTGGTTTTTCAGCAAGATTGAATTGTTCTGAGTGGAGAGCTTAATTTTGACCTGAAAATAGGATGTTTGGGGAATTGGGTGAGAAGTTGTGGATTCAAGAAATGTGTTTAAGCAATCAAAAAAAACTATAATGATCCTTGTGACGTTTTCCTTTGTTTGTGTTGAGGTGCGTGACAATGAACGCATGACTAAGCTAACACAAATTTTTTTTCACTCTACCACAGTTTGCAGACTAAAACGAACACTGGCTTCTATTTCTTTTGACGGTATATGACATTCACAGCAACTCCATGGCCAGCAGCAGCAGCAGTCACCGGACCAATCAAAACCAGGGGAGGGTGAGCAGGGTCACCACATCAACGATCTGTTGTCTCTCTGAATTAGAAAATCCATGGAATTCTTCAATTCCTTTTTAAATCTCTCGAAGATGCGACAGGACTGTTGCAAGTAGGTAGATGTTGCCACTGAACTGTTGCAAGTAGGGAGATGTTGCCACTGAACTCCTAGGGAAGGGTCCAGTAATATCTACACCCAACATTCCCAAGGGCGACTGACCGTAGTCCGCTCTAATTTACCAGGGCATCTTCATTTCTCTGGTTTTTGAGTTGATCTGACAGCACTTGACAGTTTTTTTTACCTCCAAACTCGTATTGGGCCACCTGAGTTAAGTTATGGATTCAGACAGTTTCAGGATCTCAGCATCAGCCTGCTCAACTTCCCAGATGGTCTCATCTGATAGAGACATTTCTCTCTTGGCTGGGTGGCACAAGATTGAAACTGACAGTCTTCTGCATCCACAGAGTGTTAATCAGAAACAATGTTGTATTTCCCTTTCTGATACTCAGTTGTGAATGACAACTCTTCAGATGAGTGCTTAGTTTTGGAAATCCAGACCAGAGGAGAGTTGTCTGTGGCAACAGTGAACATTCTTGCTTCCAAGTAGCAGCGCCACTTTTCCAAAGCCCAGATTACTGCCAAACATTGTTATTCTGTGATTGAATAATTCCTCTGAATAATTTAGGGTGCGACGAGCGAAAGCAATGATCTTCTCGCTTCCTAGTTCCAGAGATCTCCCAAAACCATTTCCATAAGTCTTTGAAATGTGGCATTTCTCCAACCAAAAGGCATCACTTGAAACAGGAACAAGCCTGCGTGGCACTGAGAAAAGTTGTCTATGCCCACCCACAGAAGAGCGACGTCTTCTAGCATGTCGGCCTGAGCGGGGAGGGATGAAGCTACATCAGTACAGGTGTGCGGAATCCGTGACACGGGCTTCGTCCTGCTGGGGGACCTCCATTCCCCATGGTGGGTGCACCTCGGACTGTAGCACGCTGGCCGAGCGCTCACCCCCGGCTCACACTGCTCATTCTGTGCCCTTCTCTCCCCCGAAGAGAAGCAGTGGTCCACCGACTCTCTGGATGAAGCCCTCAACCTGTTGCTGTCGGATGAGTGGGAGTCCCCCCCCGCTTCCCCTGTTCCAACCTCCGGTGACGCCATTGCTGCTGGCCGACCCTTGTCAGTCAGAGCGGACGACTGGTAAGCTATGGGGCGAAAAAAGCTGCCCTCTCTGATCCCGGTTCGGGACAACGCTCCATGTGCCCTGTTGTTTTCACTGAGCCCACATGACGTCCCCTCGCTGGGGGTGCACGCATTCTCCTGTGGCCTCCCCGGCTGTTGTATGCTTTTCCACCGGTTCGGCTAATCCTGTGCCTTCTGGACCGCCTACAGTTTTCAGCCTTGATGGTGATTCTGGTTGCTCCACAGACTGCTTCCAGCAGTTGCTGGCAGGACAGCTGTGGAAACCCCCCTGGAGGAGGGATGCCCTCTCTCAGGCAGGGGGCGCATTCAGGAGTTGTCCGCTGAGAGGCGGTGCCTGGAGTGTCTAGGTCTCTCCCGTAAGGTTTGTGCCATCCAGGGGTCGAGAGCCGCCTCTACCCAGTCCTCTTACTCCTCCAGGGGTTGGAACCGGTGGCCTGTCCGCTGCCGGGGGTGCTTATGTTCCTCCAGCTGCTCATGGACAGGGGTCTGGCTTTCAGTATGGTTAAAACCTATACAGACGTCGTCTTGTCCTGTCACAAGGTTTTGGTAAAAGGACGGTTTTCACTGACCCCCTGGTGAAGCGTTTCCTGAAGGGGATGCGGAGGCACAGGCCGGAGGCACAGGCTGGTGGCACGGCCTGTTGCTCCACAGTGGGATTTTCCGGTGGTCCTACGTGCGCTAAGCCAAGCCCCTTTTGAGCCTTTAGAGACGGTGGATCTGAGGTTTCTTTCGGCCAAGGTCGCCTTACTTGTGGCTCTGACATCGGTCAAGAGGGTCAGTGATCTGGCTGCCCTCTCTGTGGCTCCATCGTGTCTCAGGATTCAGGGTGACGGCAGCTCTGTTGTTTTGTTGTCTTGTCTAAGTTAACATGGCCCAGTAAGAAGTGAACCGCAGTTGTAACCCTAAAAAAAACAGGGCTAAACCGGAGGTTTCCTTGCTAACCCCAAACCCTGCTTTGTAGTACAAGCCTTGTCAGTAAGCATCACATTAGGAGTCCATTTCTCATCACCATCATCATCATCCTCATCTTCCCCTAACTGTTCTATGTCACTTGAATTACCAACTTTTTCAACATGGTATGTCTTTTGACATCTAAAAATACAATTTGGACGAAGATTGTGTACTTTCTTCACTGAATTGGTCGATGTAAGATACAGATTTTGATAGGCAAATAATTGTTTTAGTGAAAATTTATGAGAAAAAGGTAATTATTAGGAAGTGAGACATTGCAACTACCAAGTGATTATAATGAGAGCAGGTTGCATAAAACCAGAGAGCGAGTAATATTTCCAACAGAAATTAAATGTGTTGCCTAACATGAAAAAAAGAGAATAATAATGAATATGAGCAAAATTGCGTTTGTTTATGTTTGGCTCTGCGATGGACTGGCGACCTGTCCAGGGTGTACCCCGCCTTTCGCCCAACGTAAGTTGGGATTGGCTCCAGCCCCCCGCGACCTTGTATGCGGGATAAGCGGTTGACGATGGATGGATGGATGAGCAAAATGGCTTGACTTTTGTCCTGATGGAGTGGCTGAAACAGTTTGTGTCCAGAGTGGGAGGGGTCAGACACAATCTTTCCTGCTTGTCTCAGAGTCCTGAAATTGTACAGGTCCTGGAGGGATGGTAGATTGTAGCTTGTTTTGGGTTTACATAACAAATAAATAATATATATTACTTACATAAAAACATAATGAGGGGTTTTAGTGTGGGTAGTACAACCCACACAGCAGTAACAGCAGTTTGTCAGCCAGCACATGTTTTACTCACCAAAAGACATGTGTGAATTTCAACACCCTGTTTATCACAATAGACACAGAGCAGCGTCCAGGCTCAGGAGGGGTGGTATAGACAATGAGATGCAATACTACTGTGAGTACACTGTACATAGCAGAAAGAAGAAATAGGTTAGCATTTTACAGGCCAACCAGTAAATAAAAAATAGAAGATTGAATGGTTCCTGCTCAAATAATATAAACTCATCATTAACACAAACCTCCCCTCTTTAAAGACTGGGCCAGGAGGAGTATCACTTCTTCAAAATGCCCCTTTTCAACAATTTAATGCACACACAGCATCAGCCATAGTCACTCTGAAGACTGTAGTCTTCGTAGCAGGAAATGTAAATAAAGGGCTGCAGCGGCCGGCTTCATCACAGAGTCGCAGTGCACACACAACTGACAGGCAGAAGGAGAAGTAGTTCCTTCCCCTAACTGGATAAAATTAGACTATCCTGGTGACAGCAAGTTACTTATGATAACATAAACACTCACTCCAAATTATAAGTATAAATATCGATCTTTTTATATGAGAATTGATACTAGAGCAGGAGATATTGGGATCATAGCTATTGATACTTTAGTATCAATCCGCACATCACCAATGTGCTTTGCACAGGGTTTATTTAACAGGCCACACCTACAATAACTTGGCAACACTAGGAAGTTACAGATTGTCATATCAAAAACCAAAGGGATAGTTGTTTTTTGACTCATCTAATTTATTAAAATATTATAAACAAATTAGATCTATAGCAGTGGATGGTAGTTAATGTAGGTAAATGCCAAACCTAAGAATCTAGAAACCAACTGACTGATCCTTTAGGTGTTCTATTCCTACATTTACATTATGCCATATTTAAATCCTCATTTTCCCCATAAATGTCCACTGTTTGTTCAACAAATGGCTGGGTTACATTTACATAGTCATCTTCATCATCACTGCTTTCTTCTTCTTCTGCTTGTTGTTCTTCTTCTCTGTTATCCTTTACACAGAAACAGAACACTGTGGCCTTTAGAGAATTCACATCGGGGCCCGCTTCCTCATAATCATGATATTCATCACTCTCTGGTGACTCATAATCATGATCATCATCACCGCTTTCTTCTTCTTTTTCTTCTGCTTGTTCTTCTTCTCTGTTGTCCTTCACGTGGAAACAGACCGCTGTGGCCTTTACATAATTTGCATCGGGGCCAGCTTCCTCATAATCATGATCTTCATCACTCTCCTCTTTTTCCCCTCTCCCTGCTTCCTCTTTGAGTTTCCCCTTGGTGTATACTGGGTCAACATTCACATAGTCCTCCTCCTCGTCATCATAATCCTCGTCATATTCATAATTGTTACTGCCTCTGACAGACACTGAAACACAAGCATCAGGACAAAATGTTTCATGATTATCAGAATCAAATTAAAACACACATATTGGATGGAAGTGTATTTTGAGAAAATGAAAAACAAAACAGAAACTTTCTAATGTCATGTACTATGTGTCCTGGTGAGCACACACATTGAGTTTGGAAGATGTTTCCAGGCTGCTTGGCTCGCCGTCTTCTCCTGACAACCAGACAGACCACCACCAAGACCAGCAGGAGCAGCAGCAGACCCCCACCTGCTACTGAGGAGACCAGCGGCAACAAAGGCACTAGGAAAGAAAACATTGAACAGTTTATCATGACAATTATGTGCAGTTTTCATGCACATGAAGGTTCATAATGTCTCATTTTTAATCCGTAGGGTTTAACATAATGTTGGCACACCCTTTGCAGCTATAACAGGCTGTCCACAAGGTTTATAAGTGTGTTCATGGGAATTTTTGACCATTCTTCTAATAGCGCATTTGTGAGGTCAGGCACATGATGTTGGACGAGAAGACCTGGCTCGCAGTCTCAGCTCTAATTTATGCCAAAGATTTTGTATCGGGTTGGGGTCTTGACGCTTATCCATGTCTTGGACCTTGCTTTGTGCAGTGGTGGCAGTCATGTTGGAACAGGTAGGTGCCTTTCCACAAAGTTGGGAGCATGACATTGTCCAAAATGTCTTGGTATGCTGAGCATTAACAGTTCCTTTCACTGGAACTAAGGGGACAACCCACACCATAATCACACCTGCACCAATCTTTACACTTTGCTCAATGCAGTCAGGCAACTACCGTTCTCCTGGCAACCACCAAAGCCAGACTCCGTAGGATTGCCAGGCAAAGAAATGTGACAGAGCAGCCCTAACCCGCCGACCCACACACATGCGCACAATTAAAGTTATGAAGTATTAATTTAATTCAAACAATTTTATACATACATTTTATACAGTTCATTAATCATTAAAAACTGTATATAAAAAATAAAGTAAATAAAACAGTAAAAGCGCGTGTGTGTGTGTGTGTGTGTTAAAAAAATATAAAATCTTAAAAATTGAAATAAAATAAATCAATAGAACAGTAAACGTGTGATTTGTTGGAAACATATCTAGTTTATACAGGACCGATTTATCAGCCAATATGAACTAATTGCATGTAAATTTGTATCTGCGTTTATAACAGCCAATTATTAAAAGAAACGGAGAGACAAATCTTTCAATTATGTCATGAGTGCATAGTTTCACCAGAAGGCACTCTGCAACTCTCCGGTTGAGTTCACGATGAGGTGGTAATTTGTCACGTGAAATACATTACTTAAATAATAAAATTAGCACTCATCACTAATCTATCTATTCTTAGCCCAAATAAGCCCACATGCATGACCATACCAACCCGCACGTCTTTCCCCCTCTTTTCAATGTGCCTACATGAGCAGAGCAGCCGTTCAGGCAGAGCAGGAAAAACCTAGCCTACCGTAACATACACAATGGTAGTAGGGCACCTGCTGCAAGTCACATACATATATGAGATCATGGAAAACTGTGGCCGAGAATGAGATCATGATACATTGTGATTAATGTCGACTGGTACTGCAAGGTACAGCTAGAAGCTAGGGTTTGTACTGCAAGAAACTAAGCTTTGTATGAGACATGGCATATTCATGCTTGATATGTTGAATCATGGTATACGTTTATCAAGTATGTTATTCCTTATTAATTCTTTTAAAAAATACAATTTTAAGTGTTTAAGTTTTAATGGTGTCAAATTATGCCTGTATAACTTTTTTAAAAATACGGTGAAGCTAAAGTTGAAACATATAGGTGAATTTCTAGTCCAGTAATGTTAAAAATATAAAGAAGGATAAATTGTAACAATAATCATGCTGAACAGCTAAAAAGTGGTAATTTCGATGTTAGTGAAAGGGTTAAATTGGTAAAACAGTACGTAAAAATGGCCACTAGATTGCAGCAGAGGATAAGAAATTCACCAATGGAAGGGAGTGGTCAGCAAACAATGTAGGCAGAGACCAAGTGTAACGCCCACCTGGAAGGTGGAGTTTAAGGTGAATAAAAGGCGAGGTTCGCTGACCACCAGCTCAGTTCCATCCTGAGACCTGCAGGGATGTTACTCGGGTTTACTTGTTCTTTATTGGAATAAACTCTTTTGCACCGATTCTTGACCGTCTCCAGTGAAGTTTTTGACCACGCAGTTTTTGACTAAAGAAGAAAGCTAATAGAGTAATTTTTACTGAGTTTAATAAGTTGGTTAGGGTACGGACCAGGCTTTCCACTGGCCCGGCCTGTCCTTATTTCCAACCCAACATAACGAAGGATGCTAATTTCAATCCCTCCCAAATCGATTATCTTGTTCATAATGCTGCAGGCTCACTGCAAATGACACTCAACTCTGTTGCCCCTCTAAAAAAGAAAATACTAAAACAAAGACGGTTAGCTCCATGGTATAATACTGAAACTCGCAAATTAAAGCAAATATAGTGGAAACTTGGGAGGAATTGGCGTTCCACCAAAGTGGAAAATTCTCGTTTAATTTGGCAAGATAGTCTTAAAACTTATAGGAAGGCCCTCCGTAATGCTAGAGCAGCGTACTACTCGTCATTAATAGAGGAAAATAGGAACAACCCCAGGTTTCTTTTCAGCAATGTAGCCAGGCTGACAGAGAGACACAGCTCTATTGACCCAAGTATTCTCATAGTTCTCAGTAGTTATGACTTAATGAGCTTCTTTAATGATAAAATTCTAGCTATTAGAGACAAAATTCACCAAGACCTGCCCTCAACTGGTACTGACTTATCTCCAAACTCAGGAACCTTAGAAACAACTGTAAAGCCATGTGTTTAGACTGCTTTGCTGCCCTCAATCTTTACCAACTAACTTCAATAATTTCTTCATCTAAACCATCAACCTGCCTCTTAGACCCCATCCCGACTAGGCTGCTTAAAGAAGTTTTACCCTTAGTCAGCACTTCTCTGCTAGATATGATCAATCTATCTTTATCAACAGGCTAGGTACCACAGTACTTTAAAGTAGCTGTAATTAAACCTCTTCTGAAAAAGCCCAAACTTGACCCAGAAGTTTTAGCCAGCTATAGACCTATGTAGCTACACTGGTCCCAAGAAATAACGGCTACTCATACAGATGTCTTTTGAAGATTTATTTTATCGCAACTCTCTCCTTTGTCAGCAGACACCATGAAAACTACAAGAAAATAAAAGACATACAGCTTACAAAATTCATCTCACATTCACTTTAAGGCCTTTCAAGCTAGTGTCCATTGATGAACAGGCCCAAACACATTAACACAAGCGAAATGCAATGAAATCATACAATATAACCAAACATAAATGTTGTCCACGTAAAGTACACCAACCATACAAGTACCATACACAAAGGTAAACAAATGAAAGGCAATTACCATGTGCGCCTCTTGAACCAAGTGCAGAATACGGTTATTTCGGGGCTTTATTTTGTTCCTCTGCATGCTCTGCTCTGCCTCCACATCGTCTCTTACCCATAATGCCATGGTTATGCCCTTATCTTAACTCTGTTCATGTGACCCATTTCCCATTACTCTCTGTTGTTCGTTGAAATAAACCTTACATAAAAGCACAACATTTAACAGTATTTAAATTAAAGACATTTTTGTGAATGTTACCCCTTTTAATGTTACCCCTTTTAACATCTTCACATGTTTTTACTATTTTTAAATGGCTGTATGAACTCAAATATTCATGAACTTACACACACAAATATACAAAATAGACATTTCAATTAAACATGTCTTTGAGACAGTTACAACCTACTGTATATCTAACCTTCCATTTCTCTCTAAGATCCTTGAGAAGGCAGTCGCCAAACAGCTGTGTGACTTTCTACAGAGCAATAGTTTATTTGAGGATTTTCAGTCAGGATTTAGAGTTCATCATAGCACAGAGACAACACTGGTGAAAATTACTAATGACCTCTTACTTGCATCAGACAAAGGTCTCTGTACTGGTTTTATTAGATCTTAGTGCTGCTTTTGATACCATTGACCATCAGATCCTGTTACAGAGACTGGAACATTTCATTGGCATTAAAGGAACTCTAAAACCAGCTCTTAGGTGCTTTAAGTCCTATTTATGAGATTGATATCAATTTGTACATGTTAACGATGAGTCCTCCATGCACGCCAAAGTTAGTCATGGAGTTCCACAAGGATCTGTGCTTGGACCAATCCTCTTCACTTTATATATGCTTCCTTTAGGCAATATTATCAGGAAACATTCCATAAGCTTTCATTGTTATGCAGATGATACTCAGTTATATCTATCGTTCAAGCCAGATGAAACTCATCAGTTAGCTAAACTTCAAATGTGCCTTCAGGATGTTAAAACCTGGATGACCTGTAATTTTCTAATGTTAAACTCGGATAATAAGAAATTATTGTTCTGGGGCCTAACCACCTCCGTGACGCATTATCTAAAGATATAGTTTCCTTTGATGGCATCGCCCTGGTCTCCAGCACCACTGTGAGGAATCTTGGAGTTGTCTTTGATCAGGACATGTCATTAAAGTCTCACATTAAGCAAATTTCAAGGACCGCCTTTTTTCACCTACGTAATATTGCGAAAATCTGGAATATTCTGTCTAAAAATGATGCAGAAAAACTAGTCCATGCATTTGTTACTTCTAGGCTGGATTACTGCAATTCCTTATTATGCTCAAAAAAGTCCGTTAAGACTCTTCAGCTGATCCAGAATGCTGCAGCACGTGTTCTGACAGGAACCAGGAAAAGAGATCACATTTCTCCTGTTTTAGCTTCTTTGCATTGGCTTCCTGTAAAATCCAGAATAGAATTTAAAATCATTCTTCTTACCTACAAAGCTCTTAATGGTCAGGCACCATCTTCTCTTAAAAAGCTAATAGTACCTTATTACCCCAGAATGCAGGGTTAATGCAGGGCCAGAGCGTTCCGTTATCAAGCTCCTCTCCTGTGGAACCAGGTACCAGTTTGGGTTCAGGAGGCAGACACCATCTCCACATTTAAGAGTAGGCTTAAGACTTTCCTCTTTGATAAAGCTTATACTTAGGGCTGGCTCAGGTGAGTCCTGAACCATCCCTTAGTTATGCTGCTATAGGCCTAGACTGCCGGGGGATTTCCCATGATGCACTGAGCTCCTCTCTCCTCTTCTTTCTCTCCCTATGTATGCAACCTCATCCCGTTAATGCATGATACTAACTTGAATTCTTCCCTTTCCCATAGTCTTGTGCTTTCTCGTCCCTCTCCTCTCTCCTCCTTTCACTTCCTGCAGGTGTTTCTGGCTCTGGAGCTGTGGAGTCTGGATCTGTGGTTACGAGTCACCTGCTGCCCCCGTGTTCCTGCTCGACACCCTCTGCTACAATTATTGTTACTGGTCCTATTCCTATTATTGCTGTTATTATATTAACATTACGATTATTATCATTAACACTACTATAAATATCTGTAACATTTTTCATTCAGTCTATAGCAACATCACCTTTACTGTCTTTACCTCTGTGTGGATATTCTGTAGGCTGCCTCCCTCCCCTCTCTCTCTCCTTCCATCCCTCTCTCTCTTTCTCTCTCTGTCAGCGGGACGTAAATGATTACGTTAATCTAGTACCGCAAATTTGGCAAGTAAACAAATGCTCATTCATCTTTTCGTAATGATTGACAGTCGGAGTTAACCTCCCATAATGTGAGATGACCAATGCTGAGCTAAACATGTTAGTAACTTCAGGTTACTAACCAATTTTGCGTTCAGCACTTCTTCTTCTCTTCTTCTTTGGGCCTTGTTGTGTGAAGTTTTAAAGCCAAAGTTTATGATGAATGGCGCAGCAGCTGCCGGTGTTTGTTGTCCTCTCTCACGTGTGGCCGCGCGCAGCAGATGCTACATGTTACGTAGGCAGGTTATAGGTAACGGAGGGAGGGGAATAACAGCAAGCTCATCAGACGTTTCCTAAAAATAATCATTGTTCACGAGTTTACTGAGCCCTGATCCAGGACCAGTACACAGTACTTTTTTAATGAACAAAGTGTTTCAAAGTTTTGCACATTCTTTCAGAGCCAAAGCCAACACCTGTCTGATTCCAAAACCAACAATCTGGTCGATCACTTCATTCATATCTGCTTGTCGCATGACAGCATTCGCAGCCTAAAAAGGGAATGCAGGAAAGCAGAGCGCAGATGGAAAAAATCCAGTCTCCAAGTCCATTACCTCAGTCTGAAGGATTTATTAATTAACTACAATAATATTACTGCACATAAACACAATCCCAGGTTTCTGTTTAAGATCAGCTGGTAAACCCAACCCCTCCTGACTGTGAATTGTTTTTATCTTATTTTACCAATAAGTTGGTGTCCATCAGAGCCTCTATTACCCCCACGGCCTCTTACTCAGAGGTCCCTCACCAGCAACAAGAGAGTTTTAACCAGTTTTATCACATCGACTTGTCTGAGCTTTAAAAATAGTATCACAAATGAGAGTGTCCTCCAGCCCACTTGATGTAATACCTACAAAGTTTTTACTGAAAGTAATAGATTCTGTTGGGCCCCATTTGATCTGTTTTCAACAGCTCCCTATCTACTGATTGTGTCCCTGATTATTTTAAAACAGCTTGCGTGAACCCACTTTTACAGAAACCTGGTTTAGATCCCTCCCTCCATCAAAACTTTAGACCTATTTCAAAACTGCCTTTTATTGCAAAGATTGTAGAAAGAATTGTGTCCAAACAGCTGCTCACTGTACTGGAAAATAACAAATTATTTGAAAAGTTTCAGTCTGGTTTTAGGAAGTACCACAGCACTGAGAATGCCCTGTTTAAAGTCACCAATGACCTTTTAATGTCTGCTGATGAAGGCATGTGCTCAGTCCTGGTACTCCTGGACCTTAGCGCTGCTTTTGACACCACTGATCACAACATCATGTTAGACAGACTGAGGCACTGGGTGGGGATCTCTGGTACTGCCCTAGAATGGTTTTCATCCTACCTATCAAATAGGAAGTTTTGTGTGTCTGTGTACAACTATGTCTCCTCATTCTGTCCAGTTAAATATGGTGTGCCTCAGGGGTCGGTCTTAGGACCCATTTTGTTTTCCTTGTATCTGCTTCCCCTTGGACATATTATCCATAAACATGGCATTTCTTTTCATATTTATGCTGATGACACAAATATGCTTGCCCGTCAGATCCACAGACCCTGGAATGCTGAGTTCACTTAACAACTGCCTTTGTGAAGTTAAAAAATGGATGTCAAATAATTTCCTCCAGCTGAACTCAGACAAAACAGAAATCCTGTTCAATACTGTGTTTACTACACAGTATTTTAATGTTTCCTATTTTTATTTAATGTTTCTGCGGCTGTTCCGCCAGTGTATGAATGTGTGTGAATGTTAGTTTCCGTTTGAGCACTTAGGCTCAGTGTATGAATGTGTATGACTGGTGAATGCAGATGTAGTGTAAAAAGCGCTTTGAGTGGTCGAAAAGACTAGAAAGGCGCTATACAAGTACGGAGCATTTACATTTACATGTGAAAACTGTCCGAGCTGCTGTCACGAGGGGTGATGTGTAGGGAAGGTTGAGGACCCAAGAAACAAACTGGAACACAGAACAGACTAAAAACTAATCATACAGATAGACTACAAACATAACAGGGAAAACAGACTGAACCAAGAACAAACACTCAAGTACACAGACCAGGAGTAAACACTTAGACAGATGACAAATACTGCCATCTGCTGGTTCCCTAGTAAATCACATTAAGCCTGTTGCAAAGAACCTTGGTGTTTGGTTTGATAGTAATTTAAATTTCGAGCAGCACACCACAAAGCTTGTTCAATCATGTTTTTATCAGCTTAGAAATATAGCAAAAATTCGATCTATGTTAACTTTTAAGGACACCGAGACCATTTTACACGCCTTCATCTCATCACGCCTGGATTATTGCAACAGCTTTTTCACCTGTTCAACCCAAAAATCTATTGATCGACTCCAGACTGTCCAGAACTCAGCTGCCAGGCTTTTAACCAGAACAAAGAAATATGACCACATTACCCCTATTTTAGCTTCATTACACTGGCTCCCAGTGTGTTTTAGAATTGACTTTAAAATTCTATTGATCACTTTTAAAGCTCTTCATGGCCTCTCGCCTTTTTATATTTCTGAACTTTTAGTCCCATACACACCAGCACGTACCTTGAGATCCTCGGGCAGAGGTCTGTGTGTTCCAGAGTCTCGACTGAAAACTAAAGGGGACAGAGCGTTTGTTGTCAGGGCCCCGAGGCTCTGGAACAGCCTGCCCGAGGAAATCAGGTCGGCTGAGTCAGTGAACTCTTTTAAGTCCCTTCTTAAAACATACTTTTATAGGAGAGCTTTTCCCGATCTTATTTGACTTTATTTTATCCCTTTTATTGTATTTTATTAATTTTATATTTATCTTAAACGTGTATTTTAGTCTTTTCAATGTTTTCTTGCTTTTATCTTGTATTGTTTCTATATTAATGTTTTTTTTTAGGTATTATTGTCTTTACACTTGTTAAAGCACTTTGTAACTTGTTTTTGAAAAGTGCTCTACAAATAAAGATTATTATTATTATTACTTGTGACATAGATTAGGACTACATAGTAACCATTACAATCTGGCCAATATACAGTAGCTGTAGAAACGTCTTTGTACACTAAATACCGAGGATAAAGGTCCTCAGTATTTGCATGGCTCATGCCTAATGAGTGCAAGCTGAGTTAAGTAATCTTGCTTTGTAAGACAGTTGTTTCTGAAAGATGTGTGTTGATAAATGCTGTCATATTTGGCTTTGTCCACGAATGCATCTTTATGCATGGACCAAACAGGAAAGTGCAACCGAAACATTGGTCATAGTATTTTTTTCAAATGTGATACAAATGTTATGGACACACTACACTGCAGAATGTGTGGGTGGCTTAGCTTTTCTTTTAAGTTCTTTTTTTTTATCTAACACTATAGTACCACAGCAGGTTGGCAAGTCGGTGCAGTGGCTAGCACTGTCACCTCACCGCAAGAAGGTGGTCGACCATGGTTGTCCCAGACCTTTCTGTGTGGGCATGTTCTCCCCTTGTCTGTGTGGGTTCTCTCTTCTCTCTTCTCTCTTCCTCCCACAGTCCAAAGACATGCATAGATTCATTGGTGACAGATAAGCGGGTATAGACGATGGATGGATGTAGCACCACAGCACTTGTTTTGTCAAGAGGCATTGTTCATAAAATATAGCAACAGTTAGTTTAAATTCTCCATTCTACTTACTTTTGATGAGGACACTAACTGGTGCAGCCATGGGAGAAGTGTATTTCCGTGTAGACCATGTGACTTCATACACACAGCTGTAGTTGCCCTGGTGTTCGTACTCAGCAGCAGGGAAGTTAAAGGAGGCTGAGTGGTTGACTGCTGGCTTGGGGTCAGTGATGTTGGAGCCAGAGAAGATGAGGAAGAAAACACCAGTGGGATAGTGGGAGGAAATGGAGCAGGTGAAGACAAAGCTGTCACCCCTGGTGACCTCTGAACCTCTGTTAGGAGACGTCAGGGAGATGCTGGGCGGCTGCAGTCTCACTGGGTAAAAAAACACACCACAGAAATGTTTGACCACACAACAAAAATCTTTAAATATATTTATTGTCCAAATTCAACTGGATTTTTTTTTTCATTTCCCACCATGTAAATGCTCTTTTTAAAGAATCTACAGTACCAGAAATGTATTTGCTGTAGCATATTAAATTTCTGAATTTGATTGATTGGTGTAACGTTCAAAACAAACTGTGCACACAGTGTGTGGGCATTTCCATGTGTAACAGAGTTAAAAATGCACTTATGCATTATTTCCATTTGTATTTATGAATTTTATTTATAAAATCATTTAACACCTTTTAGAGCATTTGTGAGTTTTCCCAGGGTTATTTTTATTTAATGTTTCCTGTGAAAACTGTCCAAGCTGCTGTCATGAGGGGTGATGTGTGGGGAAGGTTGAGGACCCATGAAACAAATTGGAACACAGAACAGACTAAAAACTAATCATACAGATAGACTACAAACGTAACAGGGAAAACAGACTGAACCAAGAACAGAACACAGAGCAGACGTGGGCAAAATAGCCACAAACACTTAAGTACACAGACCAGGAGTAAACACTAAGACATGGAACCAAAACACAGACTTAGTAACAGATACTGAACTGGCCAATAAATAAACTCACAGAGAACAAAACTCAACAGAACAGAAGACAGGACTGAAATGCAGATACAAAACCAACAGGAATCAAAATACAGCACACAGAGAAAGTCAGGACAGGATCGTGACAGCTGCATCTCTGCTGTATCTCCTAAACTTCCGTCATCCTCCGTCTGCCCCTCAAAGAGCAGTTTAGCATTGCTGAGGATAAATTGTGTGGAAAAACACTTTTGTGCTATTGTGCTGGTTTTTAACATTTAACCATTTTGTTAAAGCTTTAATGCATATTGTTTACTGTTTATACTATTAAGTCACCTTGTTCTTTTGACCATTTTGATGTTTGCAAACCCTTGTCAGACCCTGGGACAGATCATTCTCTGCCTGCCCCCCCTCTGTTTGACTGTCTTTCTGGTTTTGACCCTTGCCTGTTTCTGTCCTCAGTAAATTTGGACTTCTATCTTATTCTGTTTTTGTTTTCTTTTGAGTTTGAGTTTGTTTTGTTTGGAACCCTTACAGTGGACTTCACTTATTTAATCCGACCACATGGATAGGGATAGTAAAATTAAACGTTATGTCGGAGCGCTGTTGGAGCTGGTTGTTACACTTCCACAAAAATAGGACCTACTGGCTGTAATTATTATCAGAATCAGCCTAAAATATCTTGTATAATGGGAGTGTAATTGTAGAATGTAAACTGGTGATTAAATATCCTGGTAACAATACAGAGGACATGACCTCAATTTTAGCTACTGCCACCAGACGGATGAGCTTTCCAGCTAGATTTAATGGTCGCGCTATATTACTGTACTCTTTTCTGTTTTCTTGTTATTGCTATTCTACAACCCCAATTCCAATGAAGTTGGGACGTTGTGTAAAACGTAAATAAAACCAGAATACAATGATTTGCAAATCCTTTTCAACCTATGTTCAATTCAATACACTACAAAGACAAGATATTTAACTATATTGTTTTATGCAAATATTCACTCACTTTGAATTTGATGCCTGCAACACGTTCCAAAACAGCTGGGACAGGGGCATGTTTACCACTGTGTTACATCACCTTTCCTTTTAACAACACTCAATAAGCGTTTGGGAACTGGGGACATTGTTGAAGCTTTGTAGGTGGAATTCTTTCCCATTCTTGCTTGATGTACAACTTCAGTTGCTCAACAGTCCGGGGTCTCCGTTGTCGTATTTTGCGCTAGATAATGCGCCACACATTTTCAGTGGGAGACAGGTCTGGATTGCAGGCTGGCCAGTCTAGTACCCACACTCTTACTACGAAGCCACGCTGTTGTAACACGTGCAGAATGTGGCTTGGCATTGTCTTGCTGAAATAAAGAGGGACGTCCCTGAAAAAGACGTTGCTTGGATGGCAGCATATGTTGCTCCAAAACCTGTATGTACCTTTCAGCGTTAATGGTGCCTTCACAGATGTGCAAGTTCCCCATGCCATGGGCACTAACACACCCCCATACAATCACAGATGCTGGCTTTTGAACTTTGCGCTGATAACAATCTGGATGGTCCTTTTTCCTCTTTGGCCCGGAGGACACGACGTCCATAATTTCCAAAAACAATTTGAAATGTGGACTAGTGAGACCACAGCACACTTTTCCACTTTGCGTCAGTCCATCTCAGATGAGCTGGCCCAGAGAAGCCGGCGGCATTTCTGGGTGTTGTTGATATATGGATTTCGCTTTGCATGATAGAGTTTTAACTTGCCCTTGTTGATGTAGCGACAAATTGTGTTGACTGACAATGGTTTCCTGAAGTGTTCCTGAGCCCATGTGGTAATATCCTTTACACATTAATGTTGGTTTGTAATGCAGTGCCACCTGAGGGATCGAAGCTCACGGGCATTCAATGTTGGTTTTCGGCCTTGCAGCTTACGTGCAGAGATTTCTCCAGATTCTCTGAATCTTTTGATGATATTATGGACCGTAGATGATGAAATCCCTAAATTCCTTGCAATTGTACGTTGAGAAACGTTGTTCTTAAACTGTTGGGCTATTTGCTCACGCAGTTGTTCACAAAGTGGTGAACCTCACCCCATCCTTGCTTGTGAATCACGGAGCCTTTCGGGGATTCTCCTTTTATACCAATCATGACCCTCACCTGTTTCCAGTTAACCTGGTTATCTGTGGAATGTTCCGAACAAGTGTCTTTTGAGCATTCCTCAACTTACTTCTTTTGTTCTCCCAGCTTTTTTGGATTGTGTTGCAGGCATCAAATTCAAAGTGAGTGAATATTTGCTAAAAACAATAAAGTTTATCGGTTTGAACATTAAATATCTTGTCTTTGTAGTGTGTTAAATTGAATATAGGTTGAAAAGGATTTGCAAATCATTGTATTCAGGTTTTATTTACGTTTTACACAACTTCATTGGAATTGGGGTTGTAGGTTAATTGTTGTATTTACTTTTTAATTTATGTATCTTACCAGTAACAGAGAGTCTGACAGAGTCACTTAAAGGGGAGCTGAAGTCTCGTCTTGAAACACTTGTCTGATATTGACACTGGTACAATCCTGCGTTGGCAAAATCAACTTGCAAGATGCTGAAGGTAGCAGAGTTGGTACTTGATGTTTGGGTTGTTCTGAAGGAGCTGGAGGTTTTCATCAGGATGAACGTTCCACCTAAATGCTGAGTTGAGATGGAACAAGTAACACTGATGTCCTGACCCCAGGTAACCTCACCAGCAGGATTCATGGAGATGCTGGGCTTTGGAAGTCTCACTGAAAAACAACACAATATTAGAGCAGTAAATGGACTGACTTTGAGATAAAAAAAATTTGTAAACATTTTCTTTTTTAGTTTGCTAAATTTCTATTATGCCAAAGGAATAGTTCACCATTAAGGGAAATAAGCCTTTTAAGTTTTTCGGTCCCCTCTGGTTGCCTTCAGTAAGTTACTGCTGTTTCCTTGTTTCCAGTCTTTATGCTAAGCTACACTGACTAGCTGCTGGCTGTGGCTTCATATTTAAAGGACAGCTATGAGATGAGGATCAGTCTTATCTAACTCTCAATATAAAAACAAAATTGTTTATTTCCCAACATGTTGAACTATTTATTTAAACAAGTGAATGAAACAGATTAATTTCCTTACCAGTAACAGAGAGTCCGACAGAGTCACTTAAAGGGGAGCTGAAGTCTCGACTTGAAACACTTGTCTGATACTGACACTGGTACGATCCTTCGTTATCAAAGTTCACTTTAGGTATAATGAAGGTAGCAGAGTTGGTACTTGATGTTTGGGTCTTTCTGAATGAGCCTGAGGTCTGCTGCAGGAGGAATGTTCCACCTAAATGCTGAGTTGAGATGGAACAAGTGATGCTGACGTCCTGACCCCAGGTAACCTGACCAGCAGGATTCATGGAGATGCTGGGCTTTGAGAGGCTCTCTGAAAATAAACACAACAATGAAATATTAATTGTATTATATATTTGATCCTGGCTATGTTAACGTTATTTTTCTCTTTTTTCAGTAGGTGTGTAGTGGTAAGGCAGTACAATGGGAAACTTGAATGAATGAATTTGTGATGCACACACTGTAATAATAAAACCAACTCATAATCCTTCTTGTGTAGCTCATAGAAGGTTTAAAGATTTGAGAATTTACAATATGCTATTATTGTGAATATGATATAATTTTAATTATGAGAAATATGTACATGACTCTCTTTCCATTGTGGCTTTGTTCCCTTTTACAGATTCTGACTGAAGGAGTAGCACTTCAGACCACTCTTTTGTTTTTAGAGAGAGACAATTTTTGTACCTATCAAGCTAAGTTACTGTAAGAGGGATGTGTTACGTTCTATATTGTAGTGGGTCAACCAGCCTTTCACCTCAAGGAGGAGGTGAGATCATTATTCTGCCAAAGGGGGGTTTTCCTCCCCTGGAGTTGGTCTTTTGACATGCAAAACTAGAGACATCGCCTGATGTTTTGGTAAGGACCTGCATAGACTCAATCAGACATACATCACTTAAGGATTGTGTATTCAAGGACCTTCTAAACCCCTCTCGCCGTAAAGGTGTCACTGGAGACACTCTGCAGGACAGCAAGAGGGCTGTCCAACCCCTCTCTCCCCCACAGGTTACCTCCTGACATCAAAAGTATCATGCCGTCCTGCTTCACCCTGATTCCTTTCCCACAGGATGGTTGGGCCATAAAACACCACACTCTTCTCTTTCTAGCTGATGTGCAAATGTGATAAGCCCAAGACTGTGAAGTGAGGGACACTACCAATCCCTGCCTTCTTGAGCCAACAAATGTTTCATTATAAACTGTGTTTTGTTCTGTTTAAATAAGTTAGTAGTGGCGTTTGCCTCTTAGTTTAGTAGTAATGACCCTGTTATCCTTTAGTGATGGTTGAAGACAAGAGAATCATTAGAAAGTAATCTTGAAGAGTTTCCTAATTTCCTTTTGTTTTGTTTTAATTTCTCCCTATTATCCAATAGTAATCACTGTCTGTTTAGTGTTTAACTAATGTTTTAGCTAAATGTTTCGTATACAATTTCTTATTAAAACGTTCATCCGCACGTTCCTCGTGTGTATAATCCGCTTCCCAGTTCAAGTGGTGAATTTCAAAGTTGAATATCGACTGTCCTTTCATAGAACCCAAGCTCCACCAAGAGGACAGAAAAGGTATAACACACAAGTGTTTAAAAGTGTTGAATATCTCTCACAATGTCACTCTCTAACAGATTCTTTGCTGCAACTCTTACATATATTTTGTCTCTTGAGTTAAAACATGTAGTTAAGCTGTGTTACGGCCAGACTTTGTTTTAAACTCAGCAACGTTAAATAGCCTATATTACCAGGGCCTCGCGAGCCTACGGCGAATGTATGTGTCTTATTTGATTTTGTTGTTTTAACGTTATCCGACCATTCTAAGCAACTTTTGACCCAGAAACACGTTCAATCCTCACCTCGAGTTGAATGAAGTCACTGTTCCAACGACAGAGTCTGGAGTGTGTTCCGCTGAGCTATAGCAACACCAAACGAACTCAGAGTGCAAAGCCAGGGCTTATATACAGTGAATCCCGATGCGGGAAAACGCTTGCAGCCACCAGTTTAAACCCAACTCGAGACGCTGCTGGGATGCCAATCCAGCCGGGCCCGGACAACAACAACGAGCCTAACCGGCAGTTAGCCTTTGCCACAGGGAATTACGACAAAAGTAAGGCAAAACAAACCACATTCTGCGACCCGTTGGTGTCCTATAGTTGGTATAGAAACCCCTTGTTTGTTTAAACTACATTTGCAACATAATTCACAACCATTCGTTCCCTCATTCTCTTAGAATATTCTCCCTCTACAATTCCTAACTGAAACTCCATCGAGCCTATTATACTGATTTTGTCTTATTACATATTCTGTTCATTACCCTCTGGTTTGTTTCATGTTTGACTGTTATTTCTGAAATATTCCCTTATTTACTCACATTGTTGTACTCCCTTTAGTTAGTCAATAAATTTCACCTTGATAATAGTGATTTGTGTGTGTGTATTGTTTAGTGTCCTGGGTCCCTGTACAGAGGATTCGTCCTTAGATTTAAGACTGACTGACTGATTAAATTGAACAATTTTAGAAATAACTGAACCATTAATAACTAACGAATTACCAGAAATTCACGTAATAATCAAGCTATACTCAAGGACCTAAAGCCTTGGGCAGACAGCAAATCTTTAGGTGGTGCCCTTCGACGAGAGCTTTATGAATCAATATTTCTGAAATATTAATTTTCATAATTTTGTCAAAATCATACATAAACACGCTACAATGTGCCTCCACCCTCCATTCTACATTTTAATAATTACACAACCATTTCACTTCCACATGCTTGTTTTTAAAATCCCATCTCTCTGTGGGTGGAGGCCATTGTGAATTCTGCATCACAAGTTACAGTGGGAGAAAATGCTTCAAATGAAAATAAAAGTGAAAGCATGAATAGAAATAGTTAAGACACACGACACACCGCACAGAAACACTGTTGCAGGCAGGTGCAAACTGATGCACATAGACACCTGGGTTGGGCGCAGGTCAGACACTGCCTGGCTTTGGTGACCAAGCATCTCTGTTACAGATGGAAATTAAATTAATGTCACAGAGAGAGAGAGAGAGAGAGAGATACAGAGAGAGTGAGAAGGGGGAACTGGCATAATGACAAAAAGAGAGAAGTGAAACAGAAATGTATTAATTTAATGTAATTCAGTTTAAATCAGTGGAGCGTACAGTACAAACAGCTCCAAATCTGCAACAAGGACTGGAAACAGTTTTGACAGTCATGGTTCCCAGAGGATAACCTGACAGCCTGACATTCCCTCCAGCATTATCAGCAGGTTGACATGTGTCTCCACCATGCAATGTGGTGTATTTGTGAACTTCATCAGGTCAGAATTCCTGATTTTTCCTGATAAACCAAGTGACTTCACTTTATCAGACAGTTTGTTTCTCTGTATGATGAGCATTACAGCCACAAAGAACCCCTATTTATTTTTGTTCCCTTTTGTCTCTCTTGTAGTGCATTTCTGCTGATGTGTATGGGTCACTATAATGTGAGGTGTAGGAACGTTTGCATCAAAACGTCCCCGATTCCTAAATGTCCTGAAGGCAGCAGGACCCAAACAACTTTGTTATACAGTGAATCACAACGCTGCACCCCTTTCTTTTAATCCCACACCCCAAACCAGAGGGGGCAAAAAAGTCCGCAAAAGAGAAATAAGCGCTGAAAAATGAAAGGGTTTTCTGTAACATACAGTCTCAGAAAAGGCAAAGTTTTACTGCCAATTAGGCTACTGTTGTTGTTATTAGTAGTAGAAGTAATGGTAGTATTACTGCTTTACTTATGAATAGCTACATATAAGAAAAATGATTACAAAATCTTTCTCACCTGAACAGACCACTCCAGCATCCTCACTATGTCCACAGTTGTGTTTCCCAAATCCTCCATGCCGACACTGAGTCAGAGACCTTTCACTTCCTGAACAGGCCACATCATCAAGCCAGATTTGACCGGTTCCTTCACCAAAATGAGCCGACTGAGGGGCACTCAGTGCTGCACCACAGTCCAGCTCCCTGCACACCACCTCAGCATCATTTAAGTCCCAGTCGTCATCACAGACTGTTCCCCAGGCTTTGTTGTGATAGATTTCAACTCTTCCGGAGCACCGAGTAGACCCGGACCCAGCTAGTCTGATCAGAACACCTAGTTTCAGGACACAGAAGACAAATCAGTGCTGGATAGAACATGTGTTTGTTTGTCATTTAGTCATGACAGAAACCGTTACTGTAAGACAAATTTGGCAAAGGTTATGATTCATTATACTTTGCATCACCCATACAGACTGTGAGAAATATAAAACACTTTTCACAGTAGATCAAACACTCGATGAACTTCATCACCTACATTACAGTTTCATTTACTGTATTGAGCAACATTTCCCACTTGTTATTCTGCTCTTCAATTCTAAAAGCATTCTGCAGGTTGTGGTTAGCAGCTCATATAGTGCTGCATCTGAACAGTGTTACATTTCACACCACAATGACTCGGTGACAGAGCTGCTAAAATACACAGAAAAGGATACATTTATTCAAAATACTTTATCTGAAACGTTTTCTCACCTGAACAGATGACACCAGCATCCTCACCATGGTTACAGTCGTGTGACCCAAATCCTCTGTGCCGACACTCAGTTAGAGACATTTCACTTCCTGAACAGGCCACCTCATCAAGCCAGATTTGACCAGTTCCTTGACCAAAATGAGAAGACTGAGGGGCACTCAGTGCTCCACCACAGTTCAGCTCCCTGCACACCACCTCAGCATCATTTAAGTCCCAGCTGTCATCACAGACTGTTCCCCAGGCGTTGTTGTAATAAATTTCAACTCTTCCAGAGCACCGAGTAGACCCGGACCCAGCTAGTCTGATCTGACCATCTATCAGACATTTAAGACACAACAAGAACATTTTATACACAAAGTAAACAGCAAACTAACATTACTGTACGCATGACACAGGAGAATGAACTGACCTGCAGCAGGTGAAGAAGCGGTCAGGAGTAAAAAGACTGTGGAACAGAAGAAATGACATGGCTCATTACATTCAGTAAACTGAAAAGTGCAGAATTAAAGTTTGCCTTGTTTGTGTATTACTTTCCTGTGTTAATTTTTCGTTTTCAAATAAAATTTTGGAAATTCTGTCTTACCAAGGGCCAAATAGCGAAGGTTTCTCTGCTGTATGCTCCCCATAGCTGACATGACGGCTGCTCTGTGTCATTTATCGGTACCAGCACAGATTAACTAATAACCGCAGTGCACCAAAACATCTGAAAGAGCTTGCCCTTCCTGAAACACTTCCTCTTTCTGCTGTTTTTTTTTTGTACTGAAGGTTAGAAACTGTCAACCAAAAGCTGCAGCACTGAAGCATCAAGTGTGTCACTTCTGGATTTCCAATTTGTTGTTGATCAACACAAAAATCCAAAAATGCTGCCAGCTTTATCTCCTCCACATAGGCTACGTTTCCATTTTGTGTATGCTGGAAGTACTAAACTCCTTTTTAAGTCTGCACTAAGCTATTACCTCTGTAAATGTATTCATTATCTATTTTTATGTATTATGGCATCTAATTGTTCACAGAATAACAAAATAGTCACTAGTATTTTTCCAACAGTGGTCTGATTTTATGAGGCACACAAGTCTACAAGAAGCGAAATTGAAAGGAGTTGGTACCTCGCTGAGAAGTTTGATGTGTGTAGTCAAATGCGACTAAATCCGCCTGCGTTCACTGGAGCTAATCGCAGCCCGGCGAGTGCAAAATTGTGGTCAAGCCAGCTGCCGTCTGATTTCTGTTGCGCCTACAGCAGTGTCATTATGGTAAGGATGGGGTGCAAGTGAGCAGAAGGTCCTGAAAGATACATACGCATTTTTTTGTGATGGTCTTAATTAAATGAACACAAATACATACCACGGTAATATAATAATTTTACTAATAAGTAAGGGTTAGGGTTTATAGTTTTAATAATAATCTAATTTATTATAATTTATTATTAATACAAATACAAAATGTACCTTTTCTTTGTTATTTTCTCAAAATAATTTATGTGAAATTTGACCTTTCACCAGCGTAATTTCTCCTTCCTAGTGTTCTCTACTATCACTGGTACATATATCATAACGTTTTACTGTACCAACCATAAGCGCAGACCGCGTGGGAGCATGGGAGCGGTCGCTATTATTGTGTGTGTGTGTGTGTGTGTGTGTTTGTGTGTCCCCGCATAGTAACGTAATGCTAATTTTGATACTAACCTGACCGCCGTTAACGCCGCTCATTCTTTGTCCATTTGCAGGCTCTGATGGTAAAACAATAACCCGAAATTACCTTTTAATAATAGCGACAAAGCCCAATAAAGTCTGTAGAAAACACAGCTGGGATACACTTTTAAACATATGATGTTTAAAAGTCTTTTCAAATAATAACACAAGCATTCTCCATTGTACCACCAAAACGTGTCACCTGGCTTCTAAACGTCTTTCTCACCCTTGTAAAAGAGTTTCAGAATCCCACTGGCTGTATGTGTGAGCTAGAAAAAAGTATGCACATTTAAGTAAGCCCTCTTTAACTGGCCTAACATGTTCTTACAGAGAGTGAGGACAGAGGATGGAGTTTAAGACATTCAGCAGGTGAGTCACAGGGGAAGACTGGAATATTCATCTTCACCGTCTTCATCATTACCACCTGTGTTTCCTCATGCCAATAAAGAATTTTCTTCCAGCGTGTGTCATTACATAATCATAACACTTTAAGAGTTTAATGTTTTTCAGCTAAGAGACCTGGAATGGATCTGTTGATGCCTGTCTTGTGTTTTCTGGACACAAGTGTGCCACAGGATAGGCAACAACGCCTTCTTAAGGCAACAAAGGAGGCCAGGGCATGCCAGTCATCATCAAAAACATCCCAAACGTATGACGACAGCAGGCTGAGGGATCCCAAGACGGCTATTGAGGAAGGTAATATATCAGCATAGGTGTCCAAGACGCACAACCAACATACGGTCACATGTCCATGTGCACTAGAATTCTTATATTGTTATTTTATAGTTATAACAACACTTCCAATGTCTTAAATCTGCAGCTAAAAGGAGATGCCAGATAATCACGGCAACTCCGACAGAGAAGCAGTTTTTTGGTCAGCTAATTATTACTTTTGAAAAGTACAATGGCAAAAGCTTCAAGTGGCTGGTGGAAAATGATGTAGGATACATTAAATAGAGACACGTGCCCAGAAGGACACTTTTCTGTACCGCTGTAGCTACTCCAAAACGGTCAGACAGATCTGCCACATGTCTGGCTGGTACTCCATGCTGACAGAGGTCCTGGCCTGTAACGCGTGCAGGAAAGCTGCTAAGGAGTCTGAGCAACATGTCATCGGTCGCTTTGTGGCGTGGGAAGCAGCCATAATTAACCAGCTCAGCCCAGCTCACCGAGCCGCGTTCCCTGCCGTCTTAACACTAATGTGAGTCTTTGCATCATTTCTAATTAAATGTTATACTAGAGAGCATTTAATCTGAGTTTCACCGGCATCACACGATTGTGCTGTAATTTCAGGTGTGGCGTGGACAAGCAGGTGGTCTGGCTGATGAGGGATCGCAGTGAGGGCAACACCATGACCAAGGTCCAGGTCCAGGAAAGCCACTTTCGGCATTCACGTCGGCATTACGTTGTCAACTTGCATTTGGGTCGGGGTCTTCCGCGTTTGCATCGCGGTGCATCTGGGGGTCTTTGTTTTTTTTTTTATTTGATTTATTCTTTTTCTTTCTCCCACCCCTATTGGCTACTGGGGTTCTTGCCTGCCTGTTACAGTCGTGGCGTCCCACTCTCACTAACAACTACATTCTTTAACAGGCTTATGCGCACACACATGTACACACACACACATACAGACACATTCACCCACACGCACACAGACACACACAGACACAAACAAATTTAGGTTGTCCCTGGTAGAATTATTCCTGATGCTTTTCTTTCAGTTACTTATTTAAATTAATTATTATTCTGTGCTGTGTTGCTTATTTAGTGTGTGTGACTGTTTCTTGTTTTCATTGTTCTCTTAGTTGTCTTACTATGTCAGCTGTTTATTGCTGCTGTTCGGCTGGTTGTCTTTTACTATTATTATTTTTATTGTTTTTTTTGTTTGTTTTTGTTTTGTTGTTGTTGTTTTTCTCCTCCCCAAGCCCCCCTCTCTGTTCTATTGCAGGTTTCGTTGCTTTCTGCAATTGGTGTTTCCCACTGCTTTTCCCTGTTGTCCCCACCCTCCATCCCCCTTTCCCCTTCTCTTACAGGTGTTGTCCTTTCTCTGTTCTGTCTGTTTGTTCCCCCCCATCCCCGTGTCTGCCCCCCTGTCCGGCCCGGTGACAAATCAATACATAATTAAATAAATAATAAAACAGACAAAGGAGTATTTTAATACTCTCTTGTTAAAGTAAAATCTGTCTGGCACGATATGGTATCCAGGTCATTATACTATATACCAGGCTCCTGGGCAGGACAGGTTTAAAATAAATAAATAAATAAATAAATAAGTTGCTGTGAAAGTTTATATCTTTGTATTCTTTGAAGGACTGACAAAACAGCACTGATTCTACTCATTCTTGTTTGTATTATTAATCTGTATCAGTATTAGTATTGCCATTATTTATTTTAATGTTTATCATTTTTATAGGAGTTGTTTTTCTTAGAATGATTAGTTGTATTGAAACTGCTGATTAGTCCTGGTGTCCTTTAACTTTTTAATCAACATTGATGATACCTGTTCAGTGAGTTTGTATGTTTAGCAGCTCAAACCTTCCATTGTCAGATATTTTATGACAAATATAATTACATCTGTTTGTCGATATGCTGTTACAGAGGTAACTCGTATTGTGTAAAGCAGCTTGACCTCTGGTGTTGACCAGTTTGAGGAAACAGAATGTGCTTACTATCTTGTCCAGTATGGTTTTATTGTTTTCATGACATTTCAATTTCAATCATGTCATTGATTTTGTCTACAATGTAGTGCTGTTTTTCTGTTTCCAATTTCATGCACTTTATTTAATAAAGTGGTCAGTGCTACACTAACAGTGAGTTGTGAAATATTAATTGATGAGTGGGGTATTTTTGTTTATCAAAAAATAGGAATACTAATAAAGGGCGCCAGATTACTTTCATGAATGACATTTGCCTATAGCACAACAATATCAGATCTTTTCAAGTAGCTTTAATCAGCCTCAGCAATGCTAAATTACTTTTAAGCCTCCCAGCAGTCATAAGGGAATTCAGAAGAAGTTACTAATGTATGCACATTAGTAACTTCTTCTCTAATGACTTTGAGGAAAAGACAAAGCATTCTCACACAAGTATACTTTTGATATAATAATCTGTAATTTAATTGAAAACAATATGTCCAGTAACGTGAATACATTACATGAATTATGCTGCATTCATCAACGGCTTCAAGAGGTATTACAAAAAACAGTTGATTCAAATCTGAAATGGTTAATATCACACATATGGAATAGTACAGATGATATCAACAGTCTCTGCAAGATTTTCTTTGAATGAAGTGAGCTGTATTGTGGACTCCTCCTGTAGACTCCTGCAAATCCCCAAATCGTGACTGCGACTTCATCATTTCTGGTAGTAGGGGACTACGTTCACGCCCCTCCCTGTAATCATATACAAAGAAAATTGTATTGCAGCCTGTTATCAATGTATATTTTTTTTTATATTTCAGAGAAGTTTTAGGAGTACATAAAATATTATATGAAAATCATTTCCTATCATTAAAGAAATGTCTAAAAACAACTCTCACATTTTAATTCTCAAATGGAATTACAATTGAATTTGCCATCTTACACTTTCAGAGGGGCAAACCCCACACATCACAAAGAAAATGATGA